GAAGTCGTTTGTCTCGAAGGGAGATATCCCTAAGAGCCTCAAGCGCCGTATAATCAAACAATCCTTCACCTCTTTCGTAAGGAAATGCACTTCCTTTGCATCACGAAAATGAGGCAAGAAAGGGTGAAAAAGCATCAAGGACTAGGGCCCACCAAAATCCTTCATTGATCATCTCTGTAAATATCCTACACTATAATTCAAGAAACGTCGTAACATAAATATAATACGTCAGTTAAACACAAAAATTGAATGCATCAAGGCCAAATTAAACTCCTCCTCTAAAAAAAAGCAAACTTTTGTATTAAAGAGTGATGTATGCATCTCATTCGATGACAAATTCCACGACTTTTAGTTCTTTTTTAAGATACGTATATTAATAATTACTAAGATTTTTCTGTAAGTAAGCTCGTGAAAGCATTTCCATGCAATAAAAATGCGTAGGTGTGAAAATGTAAGGAAATCAAACATTTCACTATTCTAGCTACAAATGTATCGACACCGAATATAATGTAATGTCTCATCTCAGAGTATTATGCAAGTTAAATTAACAGAGAAAGTTCCAAGGTCCAAGAAACAGGAATTACGTGGCTTATGAAAGAAACCCAGAACATGAATAAAGATGTATTCGTTGAAACAAAGACCTATCTTCAACAGCATTTCCTGTCAGAGGACATTGACAATGGCTGTTCATTAACTCTATGTATTTGAACGTGTCTTCTATCCCAAGGAACATTTTGAATGAAATACAATTGGGATGTGTACTAATTCTTATATTATGAGTAGTACATAAACCTTTATGTTATTTAATGAATTAGTTTATGAAACAAAATAAATTAATATAATGAAAGTACATAAATAACCTTCACTTTAATCTGAGGGCTGTTGTGAATGATTTATTCATTCACTGGGTTAATGAACTGTATTATCTGAGTTGTTAGTATTCTACAATATGTATACAGTTGTACTATTACAATTAGGGGGGTCTGAAGAGCAAAATTACAATAACAATGTATTATTATAAAATAAATATGGCCCCCAGATTTACCGTCCAATGAAAAACACAAACCTCCCTAAAATTAGAAATCTTACATTTCTTGTCTGATCATTCATAAATTCAATAAATATGTTCCGATAAGCATATTATATTTCGCGATCTACAGAATAATTCTCTCTCAGGGCTTTCTGGACGAAGCCAGTTACCCTTCACTCCTTAATGAAACTAGTCATATTCAAAACACTAGCCACTAAACCTCTATCTGGTTAGAAAATTCCTAGACCCACCGCGGATACCCCCCACACACATATATACACACACACGTTATAGAGGACAAAAAATAAAATCCAACTCCAGAGCGGGATTCGAACTTGGGTCTCTTCGACCCAAAGTGTTCTAACTTACGCTCACTAACCACTGCATTTCAACGAACTCGCCCTAACCAAGTCGACAATCCCATATCCAACCACCTTTATTATTTACGAAGAACACAAGCATGACAGGTCTCACACCCGAATGTGGGCTATCAAGTGTTATTATCCCCACGCAGAAATATAGAAAGTAATATCTTCTGGGTCCTACTTTTTGCATTTTTGGGAGCTTGGCTCTTCTGATTTCCCTAGAAGCTATGGTAGGATGGGTTGTGCAGTAAAAGACGTTTCGCTAGCATTTTTTTCTCAATATAAAAGTGAGGAAAATGAGGGGGTCGAATTGCGAAATTACTCGCTTGTACTTGAGTTATATTAAACGTCACAAACATTTCGTGTACTGGAGATCCCCTCGAACGAGTGCTTTTTAATAACCAACACATTAACTGTGACCACATATCATAACAAAACATCCATCATACCCCGTCCCTCGCCACCTCACGGCACAGAAGTTGCTCTCCATGGGCAACGCCTCCAATTAATGCAGCACTCAGCCAACAAGAACGCGCCCAGCGTCTTCTTTTTTTCCCTCTCTCCCACTCGCGTTCATTAGCGGCTGGCGCGCGCGCGCCGGCCGCAGCAGACGCCGCGCGCGATAAGAGCAGTTGCTCCACAGCCCGCGAGAGGGCGCGCGGGGGCGGCGAAAGATGGGAACGCCACGACGACGTAACCTCCGCGCCGCCGCCAACGCAAAAGACAACTCTGAAAGACAACGCTTTCATTGGTTTCAAACAATGCGTTAGTTAGCAAGTTTGCCTCTGATCGTACGGCATCGCGAGTTGACCACAGCGATAATTTCCTCCTTCTTCCCCTCCATCGCCTTCCCCTCCATCGCCTTCCCCTCCATCGCCTTCCCCTCCATCGCCTTCCCCTCCATCTCCATCATATTTATTTTCTTCTCAATTATCATCATTTTCTTTAATATTACAGTTGGTAAGGAACCTGTCATTGCCTGTATATAATGTAAATATCCAAAATTAAATAGTGCAGGGTCAGATATTTTGGGCGAGGGAAAGAACAACAGCGTGTTATGCAAATTAAAGAGAACAATAATTTTTTTGTCATTTTGCTGAAAATCACTTCACTACTGAAGAGCTAGGGTACTTTGATTACAAATTCCCTCCTCCCATAACCTTCAGAAGATACAGTTTAGATTGAAACGAACTGGTAAACAAATTACTATTTATCAACGGAGGCCTACATTTTTTGGAAACAATGAAAATTACGAGGGAAGTGGGTCTGAATGTAACAGTTTTGTGTCAGCGTGATTGCGCAGAGCCTTGATTATCTGTGGAGGAGCTGGAAGCTCTGCTATGATACTGATATATAGCCTTTGACAAAATTACAAATTACTGAAAACATATTCAACACATTCGTGCCTCAAAGACTGAAGTGGTCAAGGAACACTAAGAGGAACATTTACACCTATTGAAGAAAGTATAGCTTTAAATGGAGTGGAACTTAGAGAAAATTAATAGTAAATCGAAATGGAATTCTTGGAAGAATCAGCTTATAAAAATGGAGAAAATAAATGAAGATATGAGAGAAAATTAAGAAGACACCCTCAATTTTAATTAATCACATTATCAACAACAGCAATTTAAGGAAAGAGCTTGGAAGAGCCCCATGTGTCATGACCCATCCTTCTTACTTGCCCTCACAAAGAACGAAACTGGACGGTTTTACCGCCG